TGTGTGTGTGTGTGTGTGTGTGTGTGTGTGTGTGTGTGTGTGTGTGTGTGTGCATAAGTTCATTTAGTTTTGGTCGCTGCGCATGTGAGTGCACTTGAGCCAACGTTGAGCGCATTCACGGACGGGTCCTGCTCCGTGCCCATGGCCCATGCCATGCCATGCCGTGCCGAGTCCAGCTGCAGCATCTAGCATCGAGGCTTCCAGTCCATAGACTGACTCAGCGCGCTGACTGACTTGCCGCCAACAGAGTCGTTGAGCGTCGAGTAATTATGAAAATTTTCGAAATGAGCTCGCACTGCTTCAGTTTTTGAAAGTTGAGCGACGAGTAATTAAAAATTTCGTACTGTCGCCCAGTTGCCCAACGTATTCCACTCCACTATTCCTAATGAAAGCCGCCGAATTGCCTTCCTTATGTTTGTTGTTCCTGCTCTCTAAATGTGTGTGTGTGTGTGTGTGTGTGCGAGTCTGTGTATGTTTGCATACATAAATTTTAATTAAATTCGTTTTTCTATTTGGCGGTAAATAGTCGTAGTACCTGCTACTTACTACCACACCAGCTAGTTCGTATAATTTTAATGAGAAGCTGGCAAACATTAAGCAATAAAGCATTATGCCCCACAAAAGCAGCAGCAGGAGTAGTGGCAGGAGTAGCGGCAGCGGCAATTAGTTGCTGCTGTTGCATGCGGCGTATACGTAATGCGAGTTAAGTGCCCAGCCAAAATGCTTAGCCTTTGTGGCGCCTCACTTAAATGGGAGCAGCCAAGCCCAGTCCTGCTTTGGTCTTAAGCTCACAATCAATTTCTCATATTTGTCGAGCAGAGTAAAAAATGTTTGCCACAATTTTCTATTCAGACTCGAGTTAATTTAAACGGGTTTTGTTCTTCTTCACACTTGTGCTGCTCGGCATAATAGAGCGATAGAAACTCATCTTTATTAGATACCAATTCCAAGGGACAAACAAACAAAGGACCTAAAATTGATGTGTTAATTGATGAAGTAGAACCTCCAGACTTGCTCCCACCCCAGCGCCGGTTCACGCTCGTTTACAGCTCCCACATCGATACGTATATGCCATGTGTGTGTGTGTGTGAGAGAGTTGAAAACATGCAAATTGTTTACATGAAAATTCCATTATGTTTGCAGAGCAAAAGGAGGCTGTAAACCCGGTCGGAGGTGCAGCAGCAGCAGCAGCAGCAGCTCATCGTGGCTAGACAACAAGCCCAAACAATGCATTATCTCTGGCTTTAGCCTCGGCTACAATGGCTGCAGCAATGAAAACTTCATGTAATATAAGTCAACAGCAGTTAGCCAATAAGAACCAGCCGGCAACAAAAACAGGAAGAACAAAGCGCTTTGTTTGAAGCCAACACACGATACCTTTAACAGCAGCATCATCAT